AATTCTTTTTTTCTTGCCGTAGTCCCTGAAGAAAGTTGGCCAGGACTCCATTGTGCTGCTAATCTGCATAACAGTCTTTCTTTCCTACCTCCCAGAGGCAGGCCAATATTCCAGCTTCTTCCTATACCTCAGACAGGTAACATAACATTTTGGTATGAATTTGAACAAAAGTAAATATACAGGATTTAAGAAAGTTTTCAGTTTTCATTACTGAACCAGGATGGAAAGTATAGATAGCTCACATAATTTAGAACCTTCCAGCAACTGATTTAAGTCCACTTGCTGTTCAGTTTTTCTCTTTAAGACAGACAAAAAGAGAAGGGGAGTGATGAATGAGTAATAAAACAACTTGTATTTTGTAATAATTTGCTTTATTATCAGACTACAAGGTTCARTATGTTAAACTGGTTTTATTTTTTGAGGGAGCAATTAAATTGTTTTCTATTTATGCTCCTTTATTTTCATTTACTTGCTTGATGTAATGAAAAAAAGAGATTCAGAGCTGAATAGTACTGGTCTTATTAACCTTCACATGGTTAATAATCAAGTTGCCCTTTTTTTAATATAGATAATGGGATTTTCTTCTGAAAGTGTTGCAGCATTTATCGCAGTCCTTGGGATTCTTTCCATTATTGCACAGGTGAGTTACTGCTCTGGGTATCATTGATTTGGCAAGTGGAAAAGAATGTTTATTTGCATGTATTTGACACTGAGAATAAAATGTTTTCCATTTTTTTGTTGTTTTATTAATTCATTAACTCATCAACTTACCTGTGTTTAATATTGAGAATAAGATGTTATTTTTCTGACTTCGTTTATTTTTGCCCTCTCTTTAGACAATAGTGTTGAGTTTATTGATGCGGTCCATTGGAAATAAGAACACCATCCTGCTGGGCCTAGGATTTCAAATACTGCAGCTGGCCTGGTATGGCTTTGGATCGGAACCATGGTAGGCACATTTCACTTTAGTCTGACTGCTGCAGGGTTGGTCTGCATTTTATCCCTTCTCCAAAGGGTGTGATTGCAGGTATCCAATCCAGCATGTCTGCACTCCCCAGCAGAGCTGCAGCCCCAGAGCAGTCACTCCAGTGTGTGTTTTGCAGGATGATGTGGGCGGCAGGCGCTGTGGCYGCCATGTCCAGCATTACTTTCCCAGCTGTCAGTGCCCTGGTCTCACGAACTGCTGATGCCGACCAGCAGGGTAGGTTTGGTCCTGGTTCTTGGAATTCTAGTCAAGGAATATTGTGCAGACGAGCATACTGGGGTCTGGGTTTAGTGCTCGTCAGCCAGGCTGAGTCTTGGCAGGGCAGCCCACACACCTGAGCTTAGGGGCACCACAGATTAAGTCCAGGTTGCTTGAAATTGCACTGTGTGTGTAGCACGTACTGCTGGTGCAGAGGGAAGACCTTCAACAGGTCCCTACAGTAGCAGAATATTCAGCAAACGCAATGCACTGTTCCTGTTCCCTGCTGTTGCTTGTAGTGCTCTCTCTCCTGTGTCAGTGACAGCAGGGATATTTCCATCTCCTGCCCTCTGAAGCAGCTCAGCATGGCAGGTACTGCCCTCTGCTAGGGGCAGATGGAAAAACCACTCAAATCTGATAACGACCAGCTCTTTGTGCCCCTTGTTTATGCAACACCATTTAGAGCTTTCCTGCTTGCATCAGTTTGAAGGTGAAGTCAGTAATGTAATTAGAAATAGTTAATTATATAACTAAAGATAGGTAAGAACATGTATTTTACTCTTCCAGGTGTTGTTCAAGGGATGATTACAGGAATTCGAGGACTCTGTAATGGTCTGGGACCAGCACTTTATGGTTTTATATTCTATATATTTCACGTTGAATTGAATGAACTCCCCATGCCCGAATCACCATCAGGAGGTAGTGTGGTTGCACAATACCATTTACAACAGGTACGTTTCTTTCTTACTTACTGCTTCCAAAAGAAGTTGTTAGGAAGGGCTCCTATGCCCATCACTTCTTGAATTTGATGCTGTGTTCCATTTTGTCACACTGACTGTAAATGAAGTGTGCAGAAAGAGGTTTCCAATTCCCTCTAGGGGAGGGTTGTTTAACTGATGTGTTTAATTACCTGCACTGGTCTAGTTTAACTTTCAAATAGCTACAGCTGATAGTAATTTATAATTGTGACCCTTGTGAGATACCTTGAGAGAAGGATGGACAGATACCAATGGTGTAGGTTTTGTTTTGTTGTCCTTTAATCAAGCTCTCTATTTTTTTTAGCTCCTAACAGATATTAATTTGTTGGGAAAAGTCAGCAAGAACTTGCACTAGAAAAGGAAGTTGGCCAGTGTTAATAGGAACCATGTGCTCCCTTGCCCTAAATCTTGGGATGTAAAGCACTTCCACGTTCCTTCTAAAAGCCTGCACTGCATTCACCAGTGCATCAAGAAACAGCTCTTCCCACTCCTAAAAGTGGCTAATTTGCAATTGTAGGCTGTTAATGTATGTCTAAATACTCATTAACACTTTGTGGTGGTACTGTTGTTGTTTTCAGAATTCTATCATTCCTGGACCCCCATTTTTGTTTGGAGCGTGCTCTGTGCTGTTGGCACTACTTGTTGCCTTGTTTATTCCKGAACACACAAACCTAAATGTAAGATCCGGCAACTGGAAGAAACACTGTGGCAGCCATGGCCATCCCCACAGCCCACAAGCTCCTGGTGAAGCTAAAGAACCATTACTGCAAGATACAAATGTATGACAAAAATCCAGGAAGACCGTTTTGGACTCTTTTTTCATCAGCAGTTTGGGATACACATTCCAACTCCATCAAAATGTAATTTCTTAAGGTAATCTTAAGAAGTATCTTTCTGCATGAAATCTGTAGGAATTAAAACAGGAACTTTCTCCAAAGATGTTGCCATTGAACTAAAAACTTATTTGCTTTTATAAACAAACTGTTACATACTTGTCTCTTGCCATAAAATACTGTTACTGCTAAACTTTACATTCTAGTTCAGAGACAAACAATAGAGTCAAGGCATGAGCATGTGTCCTTCTGTTTCCTTAAGGTGGTGAGCTTTAATTCTAGTCATGCTACGTCTCAATGAGACAGACTGGCATCCATGTGGACCCATTTGTTTTAATGTTGTAAAATCTTGGGTCAGATGATTCAAAGCCTTAATGTAAATGTACTTTAGTAGGGAGGTGAATTGGTATCATTTCTTTTAAAAGTCACCTGGCAGGTTTTTTTTAAGTTTGTACTAATATAAAAATCACATGAGCACGCTTGCTGAACAGTAAAAGTTATTTTTATGTAAGTGCATTTACTCTTTCTATTTTTGAATAAACGGTCGGTCGTATCAAACACTTGTTGAAATATGAAGTGGGTGTTTTGGGCCTACAAATTTTAATACTGGCTCTAAACCTCTGCTTTCCTCTGTACCGTTTATTAAACCACTCTATTTCTGATGTTTGCAAATCATCAAGGACCTCAAAACTTGAATACACAGACTGAACGCTATAAGCTGATAGCCTTGAATCTGTCCGTGTGCTATATAGTGGCCTTTGAGGACTCACAATAACCCTTTTGCATTACAGAGCTAAAGTTTTAGTCCTAAATTTTTGGGACCCTTAGTACAGAAGAGAGCTTTATACAATTACTGATGTGAATTTCTCTAAAAGTGTATATTTTTGTGTCGAGTTGTATTATTTAAGTGTTCCTTTGTATAAATTTGTGTATAAAGTATTGTATAGGTTTAAAATGTTTTCATCTTGTGGTTATTGCTTAATGCTTTTTTACCTTTGAACATTCACCATGGTTGACGAAGAGCAGGAAAAAAAATGTAAATATACTGTTAATAAAGTTGAATATTTTAATGAATTTTTAAATAATTGTGAATGTCTCTTCAAACCTTAAGAGAAGTGTTGTAGTTGCATGTGTGTTATCCTTCAGCAGGTGGGAAACGTCATCTGGAGTAGAGGTCCAGCATRGAGCTTTCTGTGTTAGCTAAAGCAGCCTGGAGCAGTGTGGAAGGGTCCCTGTGTCCAGCAGTAGAGGCTGGCTGCAGCTGGCTCCAAGGAACGAGCCAGTTACACACAGCCAGCCTGGCTGGAGCTGCAGCCAACAACCCTTGTGTTTCTCTTCTGGTGTAAGAGGCCCAGGAGAGCAGAAGGCTGCCACACGCCTTTGACAGCAGCTCCTCTGCAGTGTGAGACCAACACAACTTCAGTCATTGACACTAAGGACAGCTGGAGACAGGAGCACAGGGGGGCGGTACCTGTGCACAGAGCTTTGGTTGTAGCACTGCACTGCCTGGGGAAGGATTAAGCACAAAAACTGCAGGAAATGGTAAACAGAATGGAGCTGTTCTGCTGCTTACTTCGGCTGGGAATTTCGGTACACTGGAGATGTTGGTTTAGTACTCTTGAAACATTGACTAATCACAGGGTTTGATAAAAACTATTTAATATTTCCACTGAAACTTACACATGACAAAACCAGACACTATACATTAACATGGTGCTAATTTAAAAACAAATTTACATATTTCACACAGCAAAACAAACCACCGACATGTACAATCCTCTGGATGCACCTAAGTAATGAAGGTAAAAGAATTGAAGTATCTTTAACAAAAGTGTGGAATAGTCATTTTACACACTTTACATTTTAAGGGTACTTTGCCTGTGTGAAGTCCATGCATGCTCATTCTGCAGGGCACACCAAGCAACAGATGGCACAGAATGGGTTATTACATGATTCCAGCATTTGAGCCCAGACAGCACAACAAGCTGAACAGTCATAAGAGTATCTTAAAGTATGATTTATAAAAATAAAATAACTTTTAGATGTTGGATACTTGTAAACAGTTAACTGTTCCGATAYGTCACCTTTTAATGTTTTTTGCAAGGTGACCTGTGGAATGTAATACTGARAGATTAACAGAAAAGTCAGGGGAACCAACAGTGAGAGTTTCAAGTTTAAAACCTTCAGTGAAATAGCTTAGCATTTTYACTGTGAGATTATTTGTAAGTAAGTCTATATGCAATTCAAATGAGCTGGTTCCAAATTTAGGCAAGTTTCTAAAACTGAAGTGTAAAGGAGGATTAGYGAGGCAGTCATGCCAACAGATCAGCTTGGCCACTACTAAAATTGACAGCACAGCGCTGTTCTCCAGCACTCTGCCTCATCCTTTTCTCTGGAAGAAGTCAAGAACTAGAAATTCAGATAACTGTTCTCACTTAGGGAATGTACATTTCACCTGTTATAAAAGTCACAGCTCTTAGGTGGGTTTTTTAGGAGGAGTACAGGATCTACAATCAACGGAGTGAAGATTCTGCACAGCCCTGGTCTTCTCAATGTTGTTCCCACTAAGACTTCRTAAAGCCTTATCTTCTCTATAGGTTCATGCACCCTTAAACATCATCCAAGTCAGTCAAGATCCCTTCCTCAAAGAAAACTGGTTCATAAAATTATGTCAGTTCAGACTGATACTTGACTAACACACTTTAAYATTCAAAAATCGCCCAAATGGTTAAAAGAGGACTCTTACTGTAAGAACCCTTTCCATTATCCAGGAAAATAAGCTGAGGCCGGTGTTCCAGCAGCTTTTGGCGAGAGCTGGGCTTTGGCTGGCATGTAGGGTCTCAGGTAGTCTGCAGAACAGCACAAGACACTGCATTGAGCCATGGCTATTGCCCTTCAAGTACATTGCAAATAAGGCCTTGTTCTACTGTTTCATACTTACCCACATTAAGTGTGTTTTGACTAAGCCCTCGTAAAGGAATGCTGTCATCTTTTTTCTTGAAATACTTGGGTTCCAGCCCCAGTTGATCACCACTAGAAACAGAAACAACCAATTAAAATTTAAAGCCAATGCAGTTTGTCAGTGCCTTACAATGAAGGCAGCTACAGATTCACTCAGGAAACCTTTCACTGGGAAATGTAACTGCATTTCTTTGACCTTTACCATTTAAAGTTAAACCATGACTGAATGTCTTAAGAACAGCCTAGAACTAATTTTTTCAGTGACCCATCACCTGATGCCTTAGATCTGTCAGCAGGAGAAACACTGAACAGTTGTTTCTTGGGGCCCACTCCTGAAAGCACAGCTCTTCCTTTGGTTTTTACAGACCAATACAACTTAAAATTAATTAGCATGGTAATGAAGAAAGGCAGTAACAGAASTAGGCTTTGTTCTAGAATATGTTTGCTGAATTACAAACACACAAAGAGGACACAAAAGACTTTGATAAATAAAAATAAAATAAAAATATTAATTTGCAGYAGATGACACTCACTTTTCCTTATTTGCTGGGTGAGCGGCTGCAGGCACTGTGTGAGCATCTGAGCATCGACTCAATTTTGAAAGCTGGGAGTTCAACTGAACCTGCAGAGAATAAAAGCTGCAGRTTAGAGAGTTACTCCAGATCAGAGGGTCCCCCACCCCGAAGGCATTCAGAGAGTCAAATTCCCAGGGATTTGTGTTTTCACACCTCACTGGCCCTGCTGTGCGGCAAAGCCTGTGAGAACAAACACCCTGAAGACAAGCATTAGCTATGAGTAACAGTCACAATGTTCAAGGCAGGRAGCTTAAGAGTAAATACAGTAAATATTTATGCACTTTGAGAAGCAGTCAAAACACGGTGCTTTTGGTATTTTCTGCTGTCACATTCTTAACCAAACAAAATAGTCAAAGTGCCTGCCTTTGGTACTGGATACTGGGAATTGCCATTTTTGCTGTGTGGGGGTTCCAGAAAGTTCTGAAAGGCATACAGAGGAGAAATGGGATGGCTGATTCCTGAGCTGTGAAAGGATGGTCGGTCAGGCTGAAAAAGAAATAGAAATACATGATGAAGAAGAAACACAATGATTGAAGTAACTGTAGAGATTAAAAATTCCAAAATTAACAACTACATGCCATTACAGAGCCAACATTTATGTGAGTCCCCCTTATTGGAAGAAAAYATTACTTTTCCAAAGATTTCCATGCTTAAGGAACACACAACTTTAAAATGGTTAGATGAGGTGAGCACTCTTAGCTAGTAATAAACCACACACCCTGTAACTGATTAAATTAAATGTATCAAGCTACAAATCAAGAGACCTCTTTGTGTGAATATGCCCTTCCACTATGAACAAACAGTTCATCAATTCCTATTGTGACTCTGTGACAGCAGAGATCTGTACAACACAGTGAGAACCAAGCTATGGTATTCGACAATGATTGCAGGCAGTGYTCCTTAGCCCTTGACTTCCATGCTTCTAAATATTCCTAGTAGGAGTATTCAAACAGTACCCTTTGGTTATTAACCTTTACAAAGATAAGTAGTAAGTTAAGCTCTCAACAGAAAAATGCCTTTTTTTTTCCCTTCACCCTGCACTTTATTTTCTCCAAGCAAATTCTGTATTGGCTTGTGTATTTTATGTTTTATGTAAACAAGCTCGGAAGATTCTCACCTACAAGGCCCAGGACATCAAGAAGCACCCAACAGGATATTATACTGTTGGGGAAAAAAAAAAAAAGAAACAAAAAACCTCAAACCACACCCACCCAAAAGCATATGGCAAGAAGAAAATGAAAGCTTTTTTTTTTTCTCCCTTTTAAGGCCCTGCATTTTAGTAGCTGATGACTACCTCACAAGTCTGCTATTGACAGTTCTACCTTACCATGCCTTGAGGTGAAACAGCAGCTCTCCCACCCCCATGGACACTGGCAGGAGTGTCCAGCTTCTTTGCCATCTGCACTTCACTCAGCTGTCTGTTCAACCACGTGATAACTGCAGAGAGAAGAAAAAGCTCAAGTCCATTTCCTACCTCTTAGAAGCTGTTTGAAATGGCCAGTAGGCCTTCCTGACAGAAAGTGACAGCTCCCTTGGTGTTTTTTCCTCCCTAATCCCATGCAAAGCCATTTGTTGAAGCTTCCTCCCCATCTCCAGGTCTCTGAGCACCCATCCCTCCCCACAGCCCCAAGCACCAGCCCCAAGGGAAGGCTTCCCTACATGCAGCTCTTGACTATTGCATTCCTACAACAGCCAGAGGCTTGTTTTCCATACATGACAATACAGACAGCTCTTCACAAAAYCCCCAAAAGCTGCTTCCATTAGTTTCAGAAATAGTGAGATCACTGGGTCATTTTCACAGCGGGAGAAATCAAACTGTGTAAACCTACCATTTTCATTAGTTTTCAGTAACTGCTTACTTTCTTCTAGTTTTTGTATTGTATTTTCTAGCTGTTCTTGTAGCTTGCAAACCTGTAATTTCCATAAAAATTATAACACCATCAAGAGCAATTACTAACCAACAACAACAAAAATTGCATCTATGAAGTTGTTCTAAATTTAAASAAGTCTGAACTCTTTAAAGAAATTTTTCACAAAAGCAACATGGTAATTCTTTTAAAGGAAGCCCTACTTTTAGCCAYGATTTCGACAAGGTGAAAGCCAGAACCCTTTCTGATCTTTATTTTCCTATGATTAAAGGGTGCAAGGACTCTAAGTAGGGAAATATCCTTAATGGAAGAAAAAGGTTCACTCTGTTCCTGTATCCTTCACCAACCTACACATGAATGTCCCTTCTAAAGGGCATCAATTCATCCATTACATTGTTTTGTTCTGTTAAAACAATTTTAGTTTTCTTCCATATAAATGGATGGCTTTTACAAATCACGTTAACAATAAAAAACCTGAAAATTGATTACACTTTTAAATAAACTTGTTAACCAAGTAAAAGAGTATATCCTATTCCATGGAAAGATTTAAGACCTTATTGCTATAACTAAGTTAAACTGACAAAATCAAAAAAAATCCATACAACAGCATTTCCAGCACAGAAGGTTAACMCATCAATACCTCCTGCTCTTTCACTCGAAGGGATTGTCCCATCTCCTGCGATTCCCTCTGCTCTTTTTGAAGTTTCTCTTCTTTTTCTGCCAATAATTTTTCTTGTTGAATTGTTACTGTATTTTTCAATTTTAATTTACTCATTAGAGTTTTCAAATCTCCTTGTAACTTCTTGATAATTTCATTAGCCTATTAAAAAACCCAAACCATATATTACAAAAATAAACACTTCAGAATAAGGAAGATGTTGCTCAAGGGAAGTGTCATGTTCAAACAAACCTTAAGGAGTTCAGCTGACAGTGACTTAATTGTTGTCTCCAGTTTTTCAATATGTCTTTGTTTTTCCTCTGTAYTCTCTTCCAGTATCACCTTGAAAAGAATATTACAAAATATAACAAAGCTGTGGTAGATATTTCTTATGATTTCAAGTAGAATGTTCATAATTCTTTAAGAACTATCCTTACTAGAAATCAGTCAGTGCYTTTCAGTCAAATTTCATAGGACCTCAATTAATCCTTCTTTTTCTTACCCAAAATACCACAAATTATAATTCCAGTACAACAATATTAAACCTAAATCCAGTATACTTTTGCTGCCATAATTTAGAATCTTAACTACATTCAAAAGCTGACTTGCTGTATTCATAAAAAACTGGTCAGCTGCTACTCTGTAGAAACCACAATTAAGGTTCTACCAAGTTTAAAGAAAATTCTCTAAGAAACCTTTTGCTCCTGTGTCGCATCTAAGACTTCTTTTGTTCTAGTGACGAGCTGATCTTTGTCTTTTATCTCTTGTTCCAGGACAGCAACTCGTGTCTGYAGCTGATTAATGAGTTTCTCTTTTTCATGACATTCAGCATCCAGAGTTGTGTTCTCCCGGCGCAGGGACAGCACCTCCTGCTTTGCCCTTTGGCATTCCTAAATGTTGAGAGGGAAATTTATTTTATTTTGCAAGAAAGCCTGTAATTGTAATTAAAACAGATATATTTAAATAGTAAGCATAATTGGGAATGAAGAGGAGATTGAGCTTATTAAATTTGTTAATTTCCTATGACATGCCCAAGCAGACACTGTTAATGCTCTAACAGTAGAAAGTTTGATTTTGGGTATTGGGAAGCCATACATCTTCTAATCCAGAGAGTTTKGCTTTCAGTTCTCTGACTGTGGAGTCTCCTTTGTATCTCCTCTCTGTTAGGTCTTTATTGATGACCTCGAGTTCTGAGAGTCTGTTCTGCAACTGCTGAATACTTTTCTGATGCAAATTTTCCAATTCTTTTTTCTGTTGCTCATGCTGCTGTTGATACTGAGTTTGTGTCTGTGAGAAGCAAAGAAATGGAGCAGTTATTCACTGAATCTGACTATTCACATGTAAGAATCCTGTTCATTCCTKTTAACTATATACCTGGAGAGCTCTTTCCTTTTCATTCGTCAGCTCCTGAGAGTGCTTGTTGCTTAGAGCTGTAGTGTAGGATGTCCATTCGTTTTTCAGTTTGTCAAGTTCCCTGCTCTTTTCTGACAAGGTCTGTTTGAGTTTGACAAAGCACACAGAGTTAAAAAATGGCAGCATTTCAGTCAATACTGAGTGATTCTTTACTGTTACTTACTAAAAGGATGTGGAGTTACTAAGGAAAGTCTACATTTCAGCACCAGACGCAGATATATACATTAATTTTGTAACCAAGAAGTCACTGAGAGGCTGAAAAGCACTTTTCTAACACTATGGATTAAATAATCTTAATTTCCAATTGCTTTTTTTTCCCAGTCACTGTTAAAGAGTGAAAAACCAGACTGCTGATGCTCCCTACCCTTGTAGCACAGAGTACTCTGTTAGGGGAGAAAAAGAAATAAAGTTCTTCAGCTGCATCTTTTCCTCCTTTTGATTTGTAATTCTGCATTTCATTCAGCAAACACACTCCAGTAACTCAACCTGCAGCTGCAGACATGAGGCAAACAACTATTCCATTCCAAAAATGATCCATAACACCAGTTGTAATGGAATTGTTCTGTTTTATTATAGTCAAAAAAGTCACCTTAATTGTAGAATCTAACCAAAATCCTTCTCTTGAAAAGGTGAAGSAATTACTATGCTGACTACAAAAACCAAAAAGGAGTCAAGTAATTAAAGTCCAAGGCTTCCAATTTATTTACCACAATTTCGCAATTTTTTCTAAATAAAAGGATTTCCAACAATTCATGGAATACATGAAGTATATTTATCATTTATCTTCACATGACTATATTATTTAGTATTCAATACGTGTCAGCAGACAGACCTCTGCACAAAATAAAGTAAAATTTTGCTTGAGTACTGCAAGAACTTAATTTAATCCTTCAGCTGCAGGCTTTACTCACTCCCTAGAAAAGCTACAATAGACTTTTCTTCTTTTCACTCTCTCTCAAGTCAATTATCTTGGCTAGGTAGTGGCTAACCAAGCAGCCTACAAAAAGAGATATTTTCCACAGGTCAAAAGAAGTGCAATGCACAAAAGTTAAAAATTTATGTTACCTGTTGTGTATAGCTGAGTTGCCTGGTAAGATCCTCTTCAGTTTTTTTAAGCTTTTCTTCCAATATAATTTTATCCTCCTATGTACAAATTGACATCAAGTGAAATCCTTAGCTCCAAAAATACAAGTAGTATTTAGCTTCCATTTAATCAGCACAGCCTGCCTAAGTACCCATATACCCACTGTATCTGCAAAAAAATACCCTTATTTAGTAAGYGTTCAATATAATATCTTTTATTGTATAAGATATAATTAGTAAATTTAAAAGAAAAGCCATTAGTCCACAATGTAAGAACCCCAAATAAAACTCTTACCAAATTTCTACAAGGAAGTAGTATCTTATGAAGACTTGTTTACAAAGAAATTACTTAAACAACAGATCAACCGAAATATTATAAAGCTGTGTTATTAAAATGGCTTATCAGATGCCTAGAAACACAACAGCACAGTAGAAGAAACAAAGAGACAACAGTCAAACTATGAGACCTTTAATTTCTCATTAAATCAAACCTAGCATGCTACCAAACTGCATCAACWTTCCAATTTTAATTTGCTATTTATAGCCAGTAGTCCTTTGAAGTCAATCAAGCCTCACAATGACCACCGGACCATGCTTTCCTCATGAGAAATAAATACACACAGCATCAAGGCCTAGTTGGAAGTTACAACGATTTTTCATTTTACCTTAAGGCATTTCAAACAGTTGGCTAAAAACTTCTTTATTTCTGTATCAGTTCCTGGTAAGAATTTTAGAGAGAGATGGGTAAGGTGTTTGAATGGGTTGGTCTCCACTACATTTAAAGAGACAGGTGTGTGATCTAGAGCAGGTGCTGAAGAAACCAATTGCAGCAAAAACCTAGGGGAAAACAGTGATAATCAATTGTTTAGCATATTTTTTTCTGAAACTACCTGTAGATCCTACAAGATACTTTCCAATAAAATATACCTTTATATGTGCAATAAAAGGCTGTCTAGTTATTGCTCAAGAAAGAAATCTCCTCCCAAGACTCAGGTTTTGCCAGTTACTTATATTGAGGTCAGGGGCAGGTCACATTACCCTTGCTCTACTGACTCTTCTCAGACTGAGTGCCTGACCAGTATTTCAGGCACACACAGAGAACACGTGTGTGGCACACACTTGTGACCTACCTTGGGATATCTTTGTTCTGCTCCTGAATGCATTGCTGAAGCAGATCTATAAACTTCTGCGGGAAAGCAGAGAAGTCTACCAAGAGACCTTGTTGGGATTTCAAACTACATAAACAGATAAGAAAAAAGAAGTTAATATAGAGAACTGTAATTTATTTCCTATGAAATATTCTGTTYACACAAGTAGAAAGAACCAGTTCTGATCATGTCATTAAAGTTTTCCACCATGTTATTTTCAATCAGAAATTTGTCCACCTATCACCAAATCCAGAAGCAGTCAGGTTGGAAGGGTCCACAGTGGGTCAGCTGGTCCAACCTCCCTGCTTGAGCATGATCATCCGAGAGCATGTCTTGGACAATAAACCCCAGAGGATATTTGTGATAACAAGAGTTCTCACAAATGGGCTGTACTAAATAAAAACCAGATGCTGCTGTGGTGTAACAAATGTGCTCCTTCGAGCAGGCATCATCCTCAGCACAGAATGGAGCAGTTATGGAACAGGGCACAGGGAACAAGCAAAGGACAAGGAGGGGAAACAGCCATTACCTCTATCACCTACTCGCCCATTCCACTGCACCCCTTCTCCACAGACACAGCAAACTCACGGACAGAAACATCCAGCAGTGCATGCACAAAACTCTGCCTCTGTGCAACACTTCTGCACATCTCTTTGGCAAACACTATTTTGCTTTTGTCTTTTGATCCATATGCTGATCAAACCTCCCTTTTCAAAAAGCCACACAAATGACATCCCTCCCAAACAAATTCAAAAAACCCAACCAAAACCCCACAACAACAACAAAAAAATTTAAAAACCAAACCAACCCAAAACAAAAACAAACAAACAAACAAAACCCCACAAAAAAACACCACTTCCACACACACACACACATAAAAACAACCAAAAAAAACCACCAAAACCCAAACAAAGGCAGAAAACTGTACTGTTCATCTGGTCATGCCTGGCATTCAAACTTCATGATCAAATTTCGAGCAAGTAAACAAGATCCAACCATATAATTACACAAGAAACTCCTAAGTCACAGGCTTAGGTCTCTGAATCCGTGTCCATGTAAACAGACTTTCCTCTCACGATTCCTTCCTGAACTAGTTCATACACACACACAATAGTTATAGAAGTAGTTAGGTAAATAGAAGATACCAGCAGTAATGTGAACTGCAGTACTGTGGCACTGCTCCCTGCAGAGAACTTAACATCAGGATTCCAACATTCCTCTGTGTAACCTGAGCTGGTCACCCACCTGAACTTGGCTGTTTCACCCACTGGTAAAAGAACAATGCAAACAAAACACTGAAAAACCCCCAACTGAAAAATGCCGAAACCTGAACTTTAACTAAACCAGTCTAAGCGAAAAATATTCCCTTGTTCTTTTTTGCCATTTAGMAATGTTTCACAAAGAAAATACTATAATTTCACTTACCTTTGAAAATCTTCCTCTGATATGACAAGGTTATAAAGGAAAAAAGGATCAGTATCATCAGTCAATCGAACAGCTAAGTCCTAAAAAGATGTACATTTACATATGATTAAAATACKATAAGCAGCCCAGGAGTCATTAAATATTTTAAAACAGTATTGCAAACAGTATTAAATATTTCTRCTGTTTAGCCAAAGATACAATATAATTGTGGCAACTGATTCAGAATGTGTAAAACAKTATCAAATATTCAAATATTACAGTGGGAAATCAGCGAAAACTCTTTTTCACAAAAACAAACCAAGTCAAAATCTTAAAAGTCTGAGCGGCCAAGGTTTTGAAATTCAGTGTGTACCCMTCATTTTCCAGGAAAAAAACCTATTTGCCTATTTTTCCCAATCATGAAAGAGACTATATCACTAGCAGTCCACTGTAAGGGTTCASTAACATATCACTCCCATAACTGAAAGTTTTTCAGGGCATACTGCTCCTGAAGTTTATGAAATCACCACTTGGAAGTACTTTAACACACAGCTCTGCAAAACAAACACAAAATTGATAGAGCTGGAGTCCAGGAATCCCATAAGGAAAACTGCAGCACTATGCTGCTTAGCTTTTATATAGACATGCATTTGTTCATCAGAGGTCTAGTGTTTTGGAAAAGCTGCCTTCTCCATAAGCATTAAGCCTTGAATTACAAGGATGGGGCTCTGCAGTACATTAGGCCCACACAGCTGCTCCCTGTAACAAGGCTCACCCCTGTGGGGAGGATATTTCCTAGAAGAAGTACAAAAGAAACTAGAAACATGTCAGCTGTTCCAACATAACTGAAGTGTGACCACAGCAAATGCACATACACAAAACCAAAACTTGTTTCAGGAATTCAAGCGACAGTAACACCAACCAAATTCTCAGCTGGAGACACATAAACTCAGGGATTTACACACRCAGACAGCTGAAGTTAAAACTAATGTCACCCCAAGCCAGCTGAGGTGGATGGATGGGTGGGATAAAAATGCCTGCTAGTTCTGATGTCCCATTAGCTGATCAAGCACTGGAAGTTCTCTTCTTAGACTGATCACTCCCTGATGTACCCACCTGCACTTTCAGGCTCCTCCTGCCACAGGCAGCAGCTCAGTACACAGTTCTAACTGAACTGCTTCTGCACAGTGGGAAGTACTGTTACCACTGCCACCAGCAGCAAAATCTTACCAAAACTCCTCTATTCCTTTACAAATCTTTACTCAGCAACACTATAACCAACTCATGACCAATCTTAACATCATACTGGGAGGATCAACAATTTAGTGATAAATCAGACATAAAAAAAAGAGATTACAAAATCTCCAGTAGTGGTCTCATTGTTATTTTCCCTGAGAAAGACTTTTTTTCCCCATTCCCAATTATTACCTTGAAGTAAAGGTACACTTAAGCTTTAACTCCCTAAGGGTGTCCAAATACTTTTAATAAGTTTGCTAAGACCCACCAACAGCCAAACTAAAATAGAGGGCTAAAAAAGCTGGAGGCGGGTGCACGGGGGGAAAAACACAACACCAAACCAACTAAGTTATTTAAAAAATTAAATAAAAAATAAACTAGAGTCAAAGAGCAAACATTAAAATGCCATTTTACTTTTTTTCTATTTATCCTTTTATACAATGAAATTCAGGTAGTACCTAATGAATGACACAGATATGATTAATTTACCTTTTTATGAACAGGATTAGAAATTGACAGTAGTTCAATATTCACCCGAACATTTAATTTCCTGTGTACAAAAAGACRAAACTCAGTTAAAAAAATCAAGAAAACATTCTCCAAATGACATGTGTTCATAGCTGCATTACAGGAATAAATGACATTTCAAAAATAAAAATTCAGGCAGAAACATTATGAAAACTCCCACCAATGACTCCTACTAAGATATAATAGTTTCAGTTATTGCAGCTCCTCAGTCAGAACTGTTTGTTTTATTACTTGCTTGTTACCCACCAAACTTGAAACAGCAAGGCATAAGTTTTGAAACTTTGTCCAGAAATCAGAACCCTGGGAAAAGCTTGTTGAAATTTATTAACGATTGCTCAAACTTCTGAAAATCATTTATACAGTGCTACCCTGTTACTTGCACTACAACATACACTACAGACATCAGCCTTTCCGCACTTTSTCACACAGGCATACACTGTCTAATCCAGACAGGACCTGGAGTGCCGAAATTCACTGTGTTTTGCACGGATATTTCATATAAGGCATGTCTGGGCTTCCACCCAGACCCCACCGCCGTGCGCACCCTCACACAGGTGGCTCAAGCCCGTGAGGAGGAGGCGCGGCTGAGGAGGCCGCGGTGCGGGGGTTGAGGCGGGGAAAGGCGGGACCGTCCGCGGGCAACGCCGCGGCCCGGGAGACGCCAAACACCGCGCGGGGCTCGGCATTCGCCCGGCCGCTCGGGTCGCCTCAGGCCCAGCCACAGAGGAGCTTCTGCCGAGCCACTGCGAGYTCGCTCCGCTGCCGCCAGCCCCGCTCCCTTGGCGAGGCACCCACGGGACCGCCCGGCGCTCGCCGGCTGCCCTCAGGCTCACCAGACCCGCTCCCTCCCTCACCCCGAGAGTGCCCACAGCAGCCCCCAAGCACAGGGATCACAGAGCGCTCCTGAGCCCGCAGCGCTCACAGGGCAGGCAGGAGAAAAGCAGCTGTGGCTCGTAGCCCCTCTGAGGAGCACAAAGAAACTCGCGCACTCACCGCTCCTCGCAGCCGCAGCCCCGCACTCGCACCGACACCGCCCGGTCGAAGATCCGCTCCGCCGCCATCTTGCTCCCGCCGCGGGGAGGGGCCGCAACATGGCGGCGCGGGGGCYGCCGGGAGCGGCAATGGCGGCGCCGGAGCCGGGGCGCTGCGCTCACTTCGTGCTGAGGAAAAGGCGCTTCTGCAGGATGATCCCSGCGCCCGGCAGGCGCTTCTGCGGAGAGCACGGCTACGAGGAGGTGCAGGGACCCTTCTCCGGCCGGGGGGGCGGGCGCGCTCGGGGTCTGCCCCGGTCTGGCGGCACGGGTGGGAGCGGCAATGCCTGTGCCTTCCCTTGAGCCTTTCTGTGCCGGGGCACTCGCTTCAGCCCAGCAGTAAGGCTGTCCCTTTTATTAGGGGTTTATTCTTTTAGGATCCAGTCATATATTAAGTTCTTGTCTCAGTTTATCCGTTCCTGTTAATCCACCTATTCTGAGTAGATGTTTTACGAAGCTGATGCCCCTCAATAGCTTTTTTAAAACAGGACACTGAATGCATGCTGAAGTGTTTTCTAAAACTTTTCTAACTAGGAACAAAATGACAGAAAAAGAATTCCRTGCCCTCTTGATCCAAAACAGTGAGTATATGTAAATGYTTTTCCTGTTCTTTGTCAGTATTCACATGATACTTACTTTTCTCTCCCTTTGGCTTTTAGCACTGTATATGAAGACCAACTACAAAAGCATTTAAAAAAATGTAACTCAAGAGAGAAACCAAAGCCCGTAAGTGCCGTGTGATTTCAGCRCTTCCTCTTGAAGACCTTAAACATTACAGCCCTGCAGAGAATTTTCTGTTCTGACAGCAGCAGCGAGCATCAGTTCTAKCAAAGCCCTACTGTAAGGCAGGATGGAAGCTCAATAAGTACTTGCTGAAATGCAACTCACATCCTAATCTCTTCATATTCTCTGCCCCTCCTCACTGTAGTTTGGCACAACTTTTCAATTCTTAAAAATGCTGAATTCATTTTTCTGAGAAACATACCTAGGGAACAGGCTAGGTGAGAGGTTGTGCTGGCAAAGCAAAACCTGCAGGAAGGCTCCAGGCATTCCAGCAAACTGCCGGCTCTGGTCAGGCTGGCAGTGAACCATGAAAAGCTCGGCTGACAGCTGCTGAGGGAAAGAACCAGACATGTGTTTAAACACCTATTCCAAGAAAGCAGAGGATGGCTTCTTTATTGCCGGCCTTTCTGCCTTATTAGTATTGCACCTTTAGTRTTCTCTGGGAAACTTTAAAATGCTCTCTAGAATGTCTAGTAAGCACAGACTACTTTTAACTCATACAAACATGTTCAGTCCTGTAAAAATGTGTCAGAAGAGTGATTTCTGGCTGGGATTCAGGATCAGACTATAGGGAGAAACCCTACTTGGGAAATCTTACTTCGMAGTGGATCCCTATTGCTATGTACCATAGCATGAGAACACTGAAGAATTTAGCTATTTGCTTCCTGGTAATTAACTGAATCAAATTTTCTTTTGATTTTTTTAAAGGTCTACTTTGTTCAAGATATTAATGCAGGTTTAAGAGATGCAGCAGAAATACCAGAAAAACAAGTGAGTACATTACTTGTTTTAASTTTAGTCCTTACATGACATKTTGCAATTTGTCATATGACTATAGAGAARTTGAGAAATTAAAATGTCTTGTATTTATTGRTGCACTTTCTTTTTCCTTGAAAAGGTTCCTCTATCTTCTCTATCTACTGAAGAGCTGGACAACTTAATTAGCAAATTGAAAAAAGCAAGCAATGGTGAGCTTAGTACTAAACACTAAAATTAAGATGTTTTAAATTGAATTGATTAAATATTTCATTGTTACTTTTGTTGTTGTTCTGTTGTTGCTGTAAAAATATGAGACAGGTGGCATAAACTACATCTGAAATAATTATCAGGCATGCCCCCAATAGCTAAGTTTTACTCAAAAAAATAAATTCGATTGAAAGAATGATTAAACACCAATCTTGTGTTCCCTTCCTTTTGGTTTTTTTTTTTCACATTCAGATATCACTACAGATAACAGTACACATCTGTTGTAAGCATATGATGATAGATTTATGCTCGGAACAGCCTGTCAGTGCTACAAATTGAGCTCATGTCACAATTGTAATGTGTGTTACATGCAGGGAACTCTAGGAAACTGGAAAGCTATACCTAAAAGTTTTGCATTTGTCTGCAGGCCTGAAACTTCATCTTCAGGAACAAATACTGTCCCACCAGGCTTTACAAGACGCCTTGAATGACCCAAAGAATGGGGAATCTGCTTTCAAACATCTGAAACAGCAGGTTGGTCTGGTTTACTAATAACTATAGAGGGATATGGAATTGTGCAGCTGTAAATTTGTGTGACTGGGTGCATAATGCCGGTCGCTTCCTGCAGAGGAAATCTGATATGATAAAACAGAAGACATAATCCCTTTCCTCTGTACACACATCATCTTTTCCCTAATCCCTCACTGAAAGGAAGGCTTTAAAAAATCTTCTACAGTTCAGTGAAGGAATAATTTTTCTGTGAAGTATTACAATACACAGTGTATATATTTGCTTGGTTCACGATAATCTTTTGATATTTGTAGGCTTCTATTTTAGGTAACATGGAAAAATTGCATTTACTTGGTCCAGGAAGATGCTTTGTTGAGTTTGGAGCTGGGCGAGGAAAACTTTCCCATTGGGTTGATATTGCCCTAGGCAATGTTGAAAATGTCCAGTTTTTGCTTGTGGAAAGGGCAACCACAAGATTCAAGGTAAGAAGATATATTCACATTAGTAAAGTATAATTTTTGAACCATTGCTATGGAAGCCATTAGTATTTATTTTTTGTCCTCAATACATTTAAATTTTACAAGTTATATGTTCCATATTCACCAGTAGCAAATTTAGTAGAAAAACATCTTGGTGTTTAATGGTGGAAATTCACAGATGCTGACAGAAAAAAAGTCTGACATTAATACTAGGGGCAGATCTGTAATAATTAGTGGCCAGCCTGACTTAATGATCTTGTTSTATTTAAACAGGTGGATGGAAAACATAAAAGGAGAGATTCTGTATTTGAGAGGCTTCAAGTAGACATTCAGCACTTATGTTTAAGTAAGTTCCTTCTCGGCTAGTGTCATTCTGAAATTGAGACTTAAACTTTGAACACTGAAGTTCCAGTCAGTTTATAGCATGCTTAAATGTACTTGGTTTTAAAGATTATTCTCCATGATTGCTTGGACATGAGTGCTATGTGTATATACATATATACAAACATACATGTATTTTAAATGAGTTATAAAGTTTTCTTCTTTTTTCCTATGTAAACTCATAGGACATCACATTACAGGTGAGAAGTTCCAAAACAATTACATTTGGAAGGCTTTTTAGCACTTGCAGGATTTAACACATTTGCATTTTTGTTTTAYGTGTAGAATAAGCAAGTCATGCACTATCAATGCTACAGAATTTGTGGGAGCACCTGTCAGCAGGAGATGCATTAATGTAATATTTACCTTTCATAGCAGTATAGAAAAGCTAAAATGGTTAAATGTGCTTCCCAGTCACAGCATCTTAATTTTAATTTGTCTTAACAAAAGACTCTTTCATTTGAATAGCTTATAACTGAATGTACCAATCACTGTATTTTTAGTAGTGGTAAACATTTACTCTTAAGTGTAATGAAATTACATTGCTCAGCAAACACACAGAGGTGCTGGGATAGTTGTTGATTGGATGGAGGTTTTGTTGGTTGTTTTAATTTTTTTTTTTTCCTCCAGATAAGGTACCTGTTTTGGAGAAGAAAAAACTACCCGTGGTAGGAATTGGGAAGCATTTGTGTGGTGCTGCAACAGGTATGAATTACAGATTTGTGATCTGCAGAAAGTCAGGATACTAAACTTTGTGCTCTGAATGGACTGATCTTCCAAACTGTCCTTTTAAGTTTTTCTTGCTCTTTAACACTTCATTGGAATTTTGTTGTAATTATATTCTAAGTATCTACTGAMTCCAGTGGAACAGTAAAAGGATAATAGATGTAAGGATACTTTGGGCAGAAGTAAAGCCTTTCTTGGCTTTAATATGTTAGAGTGGAGAATAGTATGTGGTAGCATGGGTCCTGTATTTGAGAGTACTTTTTTAGCATAGTTGCCTCTCCTTTGAAATATTTTTCTTTCTAAATTTTTATTGGCTGTCTGAATATGTATCCCAAGCAAACAAAAATCTRTTTCTGTCCTGATAACTTTAAACTAATACACTTTTTGTAATGTTATTGGCTACCTCGTAGAGAAWGACATCTCAACTATGACACCTTTATAGGTACTTTGACAAAGATGGCACAGTTAAGCATTTAAGAAGTACATGAGCATATTAAATAGATTGTATCATAGATATCAAATTTTTAAATCAAATACTTATGTGTTTTATAGGTAGGAGAGTCTCCTATAAGATGCCAATTTGTTAACTGAACTATTTTAAATTCAYTTGTGCAGAACAAATATTCCAGACAATAAGCCCTTAGAGGCTGCAGAGGTCTCATTAATTTAAAATGTAGAGTTTTCATGTTTTCAAAGCATGTTTGTAATTTTTAGTTATAATTGAACTTGCTTTTTATTAGTTGTGATGTATAATCTTATTTTTCTTTGTGGGAAGCACATTCCCAACCAGCTTGTATAAATAAGGGCACAGTGTTTATGGATTTTTGGGGGGGTATGTATTTTTTCATTCTCAGATCTTGCCTTGAGATGCTTGATTGAAAGTTACACCATTTGCTGTGATAGAGACCATGAAGAGCCTGCACCAAAACGCTCCAGGGCTGCTGAGACAGAAGAGGTGGCTCCTCACAATTCTGCTGGTAATGAAAGCACCACAGAAGACCATAAGCCCGTAGCTGGAATTGTTATTGCTCTGTGTTGCCATCACAAGTGTGACTGGACACATTATGTAGGCAGAGAGTTCTTTAAATCAGTAGGACTGGGACCAGTAGAATTTCATTATTTTCAGAGAATGAGTAGTTGGGCCACYTGTGGCATGCGAGAAACCACAAGCAAAGCTTCTACAAGTGAAGACAGTGAAGATCAAACTAGTGACACAGAAGAACATGAGCAAACACKCAGCAGGACAGAGAGTGGTTCAGATACTTTACAAGGGTATGTACCTTTTTTTCTAGCAAATGGACTCTAGCAGAGAAGCTGTGTATATTGTTTTGGGTCCTCAAAAGGACTCATCTTGCAGAAACATTTAATTACTAAACTTAAAGAAATACTTTACTTTAAAAATAGAATTTTMATGGACGTACATTTCTAAATACTTCAGCAGTCATGCTTGCCTGACTGAAATGAACTGACACTGATTTCAGTAGATTTTCTAAGCTTAACTACTAATGTTAATTAACTAAACTATTTGTTGCCAGCTGTTTATTCTTTTCTTCCTTCCTCGGAAACTAGGATACTGAGTGTAGAGGAACGAAAGGAGATCGGTTGCCTCTGTAAACGGCTGATTGATCATGGACGGGTTGAGTATTTACAACAACAAGGATACAAGGCTGAACTACAGTATTACACAGATTCTGCTGTGTCCTTGGAGAATGTCCTGTTGACAGCTGTCCCAAGTCCTTCTTTGATACCAGAGCCAACGATATGACAGGAGGTACACTTGGAATTGGTAGAGAAAAAAACAAACCCTATAAAACCCATCAGAGTTTTTAAGAAAACACTAATTCATTGCTTACAAAAAAAAAACTTTTTTAGTATTTTCTGCACCCAGAAAAAGGTCTTATGTTTTCCAGTTTCACTGGGAATTACAAATATGCAAACCAGTTCTCATCCATGGAAAAATAAAATCCCTAAGAATATTTGAAACCTGTTGTRGCCTCTTTGCTGTGAAGAAGTTAACCTGATACTTTCTTCCATTCACAGTTACGTTCTTTATTCATTAGGATTTGTGACAGGAGGAGGACCAGAAGTGCAACTTTCCAGATTTCCTGAAAGACAATAGATTAAAATAAGAGAAGTTAACATACTTTATTTTCACTTTCAAGTTCAGAATAGCTATGTGTTTCTTCTTAAAATATTTAAGTAGGCCTAAGTACTTTCATCAACCTGTGCTGCAAGGGAATCTATTCAGGAAGAAAACTTTGTAAGTGTCATCTTGATATATTTTTGCTAAATWAATTATTCATTCATGAACTATTATAAGAAAAAAGCAAGCTTAGTGTTCTAAATCAAGAGCATTCAATTTTTTAAGCCTTCACAAAAGACAGAATGAAGATCAGAGGGAACATTCTTTATCTGCAATGAAGTGCTYTCTGCAAGTAACAGCTGCCACCTGAACATCTGTTCAGAAGTGCTTATTTTGTGCTTTTAGTGTAACATTCAAGCTATTACTTTTGAGACTATGAACTATCAAATTTTTGTCATGTTTTAGAAAAGGGATGAAACTGTGGGGGTGTTTTGTTTAAGTGACTGGATTTTATATCAGGAAAGCAAGTTGTGAGAAACATCTGTTTATCAGGTGTTGATACTTCATTGCTAAAAGATGTATGTTGGGAACATTGCTATTTCTCCCTTAATCGTCCTCTGGAAGTACCATCTGGACAACATCCAAAAACAGGAAAAGTTAAACTTCATGAAATAAAGGGTGCTAGAAGGCCCACACTAYGTAAACTGATTCAATTGCAAATACAAAAGACAGTCATCAGCTTCTTGTTATCCATGGTGTAGATAACTCAGGCACATTTATTCTAATASTCCATGGTTCCAGGATGTTCCTACCAAAATATTTGCTGTTCTTGTGAAGACCTACTGTGCCAACTCCTGTTAAAAGTGCCCTGCCCTCAGTAAAACCTGTTAACAGATTTTTTGGAAAACATTACTCATTTCTTAAAAAGACTATTCATGTTTTATATCTATACATATCCTAGATTTTATTTATCCCTCTCTTCCTCACTGTATTATGGAGAGATCAGAATGAGTAAAAAAGCCATACCTGTTTTCTTGAGTGACTCCTGGATATACATGTGCATGAAGTCAATGCCAAACATTTCCTGTTGCTCCTCCTCATCTGTGTTCTCACACGGAGGGAGTGTTACCTCTAGCTCYAGTGGGTTATCTCTGAAGTTGACAAATCTAGGAATTCACCAGAAAAGTTTACTCTTGCAGTAAGTTTTGTCCAGAGAAAACAATTTTTTGAAACTGAATTAAGATTTCTCAAGCAGTATTGTAAGCAAAATGGAATTAAATTTTTGTTATACTAAACTCGCCACTCTATCAATAGTATTAAATAAATTAAGCTAAGAAGATACTTTATAACAGTAGCCAATTGTGGTGGGAAAAAATACTGTCCTCATCATTTTGTCTTCAGTTTTTCACCTCACTCTCAGATGTATTGAGCTTTCACAAACAGGTGAGAGGAAGAGAACGGTGCAAATGCCTCCTCCCAGCTGTGCAAGGCAGGAGCCTGTCCTCTCTCTCCTTATCCTCAGTCCATTCTTGGGCCTGTGCTTGTATATATTTAGTTAAAGAGGTGCTTCCAAAAGAGCTGAGAACAGGAATTGTCTTGCTGGGTTAGGCATGGTTTATGTAGACTAGCATTCTTTCTCTAAAATGGCCAACAGCCAGTAATCCAAATGAAAATGCAAACAACAGGAAAGTTTCTGTCACTGTATACTAAGGAGTWGTTCAAATTCTACCAATTAATAATCTACATTATTTTTTTATTTTCAATATCAAGTACAGGAGAGTTTTATCCATGTCCTTAAACCTAATAATTTTTGTTTAATTCTGAATGCTTGATTTCTCAAGGGCAATGTTCTACTTTTTGTCATTTTTATGCCTGCCACATATTTTTCTGCAAGCTCTTACCTTTAGAGAGTGATATAAAAGCCAGTTATGGGAGGGGGCTTTGAAATAAGAAAATGTATTATAGTCTACTTTTTCATTTGAGTCTGCGCAAATGAGTTTCTTTAACTGAGTTTCACTACAAACAGCTTGTGAATCTGTGTAATTAKGCTGATTTATTGTGTCCATCTGCACAACTGTGGTCATGCCTTTTCCTCTCCCTTAGATTCACGCTGATATACAACTCAAGTGAGGCTTTAAAAAGTATTTTTTAGTATTTTCATTTATATTTCTGTTGCTTTTTCTTACCTCAGATTTGTCATGTCCTTCATACAAGCTGGAATATCCTTAAGTTTGTTGTTGCTAAGAACAAGAGTACTAAGATTTTTCATATTACCAATGGTTTCTGGCAAAGAGTTTATTTCATTCCTTTGGAGCCATAAAGTGTGAAGGTTTTCCATTCTGAAAAACAGGTATTTGTGCAATAAATCAAGATTTAGAAAATTAATCTGATCTGTGATTATTATCAAATAATTAATTTTTCGTCCACATAAAGGACTCATAATGCAACAAGTCTCAAAGGAAATCCCATATCCAAGATAATCACCTAATCTCTGTGCAAAAATGTCATTGACAAGAAATATTTAATCTTATAGYTGATACTGAATTTATTCGTAATGGAATGGATTATTCCAGCTCATCCAAAACATCACATTAGGACTGATAAAATCTTGACTTTGTAGTGAGGTTAACATAAAAAATAYCTTTTGAAGTAGTATTTAATAATTAGTCTCAATTCCATTGCACTGAAATTCTAAGATGAGCTTTGAGTTTTATTTACCTGTCAATGGCATCAGGAAGCTCCTGCAGTTTATTTCCCCCCATATCTAACCATTCTAGATTTGGCATGTTGAGAAGAGCTGAAGGGATGGTAGTAAACTGATTCATGCACAAATCTATGTGCGAAAGCTTCTTTAAATCACTGAGCTGAAAAGAAGGGGAGATTTAATGCAAGTTTGTATAACTGCAGCAGTACAGCAGTRCCCTAATAATGTTGAGAAACATTAMAACACATTTTGGAGCCAGTAAACTCAGAGTGGGTTTAAGTTACAATAGCTGATAGTACCTACCAATAACAGTTCTTGCCTGGAAGGTAGGAAGGTTTGGACATGATGAGGCAGCAGAACTTTCCCTAGTAGTGAGTGCCCTAACTGCTGACTAGAATGCAGATATGCCCCAAGCCTCAAGAAGAAAAAGGATTTTAAAGACAGTGCTGTCCTCATTACTTCATATTCCATGCAATATGTCACTTTTCATTACACAAATATTTAGATTTKTATGTATCAAATTGCATGGACTGTATTTTAGAGCGAACCTTGRCACTTTCTATACTGTGAAGTCTACTACTATGACAAGATAGTCTAAAAATGCAACCTAATGTCACAGTACCTAAGTCTTTTGGTGGTTTTACAATGTTCAAGTGATAGAAAGATGTTTAAAGGCAGGTCTGGTCCAATTTGTCTAAACACTGAAAGACGCTCAAGTGCACAGAACCAAAGCTTCACAGTGTTCACATCATCACATCTCTGTAGGACAGATCTATGGATTTGCTATGAGCTGTTAATTTCAAAGCTGTACATTCTATATTACAGCCTGTATCCTCATAGATCTTGTAAATTATGAATTTTGGTTATCAGGGTACATTTCCATTTGAAGATTTTATGTTGTATACTGCTGTTTGAACTCACTCAATTTTGCAAGGTGCTGATTGCTGTCAGCTATTGCCACGACTGTATTTTTAAATAAATTGAAACAAGCAAGTATGGTTACATACTTGTCATCTCTATCTAAGAGACAAATAGTTAGAGATTCAGGTCTCTCAGTTCAAATTGAAGTTCAATAGTAGGTAAGTAGTGGTTTTTAATMTCTTTTTTTCAACATTTGAGAACAACAATTGTTCAACTCTGCATGGGCAGTAGTATAAATCACACAACCCTTTTTCAGAGCCACCTGTTCTGGTAAAGATGCTTGCTTACAAGCTGTGCTTACAGTTGTGTCCTGGCATATGGTATGAATTTGTACTCTCAAAAGAACTTCTCTGTGGCATCAGATTCTTAGTGAGAAAWCAGTGCAGATAGGCAGCCTAAACAAATTGATATGGAGTGTGTCACTGCCCCTAATGCCAAGTCATTTATCTGGATAAAATAAAGACTGGCTCCTTCAGCTACTCAGGTGTATGTATGTGCTTCTCATGTGGCTTCAGTTTGACCAGTCATATAAAGATTGTTCACATCAGTATTTCTGTGGACTACTGTGAAATCACAGTATCACAGCAAATCTGAAAACACAAGTACAATGTTTAATGATAATTGGCTTTGAATAAATTCAAAWTGTGCATTAAACAAGACTAAACAGTCTGTCAAAACCTGAGGAGGAAGATCGCTGATACTCCTGTTGACAGCCAGTTCCAGTCTTTCCAGACTGATGCAGTTACTTATTTCCTTAGGAACAGACTTTATTCTGTTGTAACTGAGAAGCAGCTCTTGGAGGTTGGTCAGTTGGCCTGCAGAGAGCACAAATGAGAMATGTTCATGTTCATTCTATTTAAAGCACCATATTACTTGTTTGGTCTTATCCTTTTACTTGTCATAAAACAAAACAATAAAAAATCACCAAACTACAAATCATAGCACTTCAGGACTCTTCAATACAGAACTGCACTCCAGTTGAGTGCAATCTATAGTTTGGAGCTCTGTATCTTGCTGTCAGATTTAAATCATCTGTTTTCTTACAACCCAGCAGGATTGTTAGACAGGCAAAGGGCACAAACCCAGCATACTTGTGCAAGACCAATTTTCTTAGAAAATCAGCTTAAAATAAAAGAAAGCACAGCTCACCAATTTCTTTAGGCACACTTTCAATTGAGTTCCGAGATAGATCCAGAACAACAAGACTCTGAAATCTTCCAATAAACTGAGGAATTTTCTGCAAACTAGTTCTGTGAAGCTGCCATTCCTGGAGATGGATTARTTTCAATAAGCATGAAGGTAATGTCTACAACAAGAAATACAAACCAGAAGAAATTCAGCTTGGTATGCAAGAAGAATACAGGAGGCAGAAGTTCTATTTGAAGCATTACCAGTCTGTGCTCCATCTTAAGCTATACTGTAACATGTAGGTTACAAAATGAATCTGGTAACTTTTCTAAACTATGCTAAAAATAGCAAGCATAACCAATAGGATTTTAATATCATACATCTTAGGAAAAGGTTCTTCCCCAGGGAGTGGTTGGGCACTGGAACAGGCTCCCCAGGGAGGTGGTCACAGCACCAAGCCTGACAGCTCAAGAAGCACTTGGACAATGCTCTCAGGCACATGGYGTGACTCTTGGAGATGCTGCTGTACAGAGCCAGGACTTGGACTCCATGAACTCAGCATATTCCTTGATTCCATGATCCTGAAGTGAATATCAATGGGGGCTGTCATTCTGATCACAGATTTAACCTACCCACTTTTGGCTCCCAGGATTTCGATACTGCGCTACTGTCATTGACAAGGTTCAGGCTGGTTTTGGTTTGTTTGTTTCTCTCTTTTTTAAAAGAAAATCAATATAACAGAAGATGAAATTGTTCTAAATAGATTTTTGCACATAAAAGGACACCTAAATTCTATTTCCTATTCTGTCAATAAAAACAGGGAGCAGCTGAAGCAGAAGAGCTGAGGGATAAAAAGACTACAATGTTTGCATGTAAAGAGTTCTGAACAAGGACCATTGGCCTACAGTCCATCGAAGTATTGCTGGGTCTGGCTGTCGTTCTCACTGGCCTCAACACAGACTAATTCTCATCCCTTTCTAGGAACCGGTCTGCATTTCTGCATGGTTCAGAGCACTGTTAGCCTTCTCACTACCAGCATTGACAGCAGATTACCCCTGTGCATGAGAAAAAAACAATAATGCTGTTCTGGGAATCTACTGGCTCGTTTTCACACTTAGAGAAAATAAACAACAATAAGGAATGTTTTCATGCACCCAAACACAGCAGATTTTTACCTTGATGCATTTCAGTAGTCCTGGTGTGTAGATGTTAAAGGAGAATTTACAAAATGAAAATCATAATTTGCAGTGTAACTAATTTCTGTAAATGCAAAAAAAGCCTTTTGGGCTTTGCTTTTGCAGAGTAATGCTTAATATTCAGGACTAAAAAACACCCAGCTTGCTTTTACACTCTCAGTGGTGTGTCCCTATTCACTTTTAGTAAAGCACAGTGAGTTGTTAATAGAACAAAAATAGTTCAACTGTAAGAGTAAAGTTGTAAATAGTAGTTTTCTAATACATCAGTCATTCAACACAAGCAGCATTCATTCCTATCAACACTACCTTCCATTCTTCTTCCTCTATCCTTAAAATTGCTCTTCCACCTTCATTAATAACTTTTTCTTTGAGCTTTGCTAAAGCAGCTCTCTCCTCCCAGACAAGCAGTAGCCTACAAGAAAAAGAAGATCTAAAGTGGTGCTACGAAGAACAGAGACAATAATTACTATCCTATGTATTTTCTGGGAAAAAAGAAACAGCTGCGTTTCTGGATGTCAAATAACTTTAATTATATCTGGATGCTAWATTTACTATCAATTGGAGAGAAAACAAGCACTTTAAGTTTGGCTGAGGTAATTTATAGGAGTTCCAATTTACATTCAGAAGGAGAACTTAATTCACTTCCAATATGTGGCAGCAGGGCAACAGAATATAAAGTTATGTGGGATTAAGTTCCAAAGCAAACTTGGAAGCAGTCTCCTAAAATTAAAGCCTTCCCTTCCAGAAGCCACCAAATATAAATGCAACCAAATAAGGTCAATCAGCTAGGGATACTTTTTGCTTGATTTTTAAAGGGGATTTAAACAAAAATTATGACAACTAGGTTAATTTTCTTTCTTTCTGCTTGTATTCTTCATTACTAACTTTTACATTTGTTTTTCCATTTGAAACACGTCTGATAAATTAGGAAGAGTTCTAAAAATAGAATGCTGAATTTCTTCAAATTTCATAAAATTGCTGACAAGACAGAAGACCGAGCAACCCTGTTAATGCTTCAATGGAAAAGAAAGCACAACAAATTAAATCTTAACTGGTTAGAACATCCACAGACCATAGGATTTTAGTATCTGCGTTCAGGGGATTTAGTCTATATACTAAYATTTTATCACAGACACTAGATAAATTCTAATCACTGCAAATACTGCTGGAGTAAAAACGAAAGAATTAGAATCTGGATGAGCTTGAAAAGACCAGTTACAGCCTTCTGAAATGTAACATATGGTCTAGCTTTTCACATWCTTAAAAATCTTTATAATTTACCTACCTTCCTGCAGACCTCTGCCTGAATTCCTTTTCTTTCTGTAATTCTTCATTTATCTTGTGTATTCTCACTTCCCAGAGTGTCTTCACAGCAGTGAATGTTCCCAGGCAAACTGCAGTTTCAGCCATGATCCTTTACATGTTCAGATTCAGTCACAGGGATCTGACTGAATTTCAGGCTCAATGCACCACTTCATGTATCAGTTACCATATGGGGACACTGATGTGAAAATTAAAATACTGCAATACCCACTGCATTATGTTATTAAATTAGTTAAAGTTAAATTTTCTTATAATARGAAATGGCATTTTTGCAGTCTCTACATTCTTATTCAGTGAACAACTKCTTCTCTCAGTGCCTTGCAATGGTAGGCTGAGTATTGTCCATAATTATTTACTGCAGACTTGAGCATTCATTCCCATCCCAGGAAGAAATTAAGCTGTTACATGCAATCTAAGGCAGTCAAATTCTGATAGCTGCATCCTGGCAGCTACTTCACATAGGTACTTGTAACTGAAAGAGCTCTTTGCACTTTACAAAAACTGAATTGTTACTGGAAAATAATTAGTACACTTTATCTGCATTCATTTCTTCATAGCTTAATTTATTACAATGTATTTTAGAGCTAGCAATGCATTACCTTTAGGAAAAGGCTTTAAAATTCTCCTGATTTCTTTTGAATGGTCATGTAGTCCTGCTGAGTGTCAGGATCCACATTTTAAATTTAATTCAGTCTGAAGTTTTGAAGTCAACCATCCCTTAGTCAGAAAATTAATAGACATTGTCTTGAAGAGCACCCAAATAGGACACTCACTCTCCTCAATCAGTGCATCCCTCTAAAAATCATTCTTGTTGCATTACTGGAGCCAAGATAYTGATATTCACATAAGTTTGCAGGGCTAAACTTCACACCAGCAGCAGTGTGGTCTGATCACTGATGACCTGAATGCTCCATTTCTAACTTGTTACTAATACTTGCAAGGGCAGGTAAGAAAAATACTTCATACATTCTTCAAACTCAAAAAAGTAAGGATAACTAGCAGATAGGTAACAAGAGAAGGGAATTTCAGGTCTTTTCACACACATATATTTCTCTGCAATAATTGCTGCRGGTCTGTATTTTAGAACCAATCTTTTCTATCATATTTTTTCTGTTTAAATTTTGTATGGCCTGGATAAGCCACAAATGCTTAGTGACCATTTCTGTTTTCAAACGTCAGTCATTCTATTCTATGTTTACTATGTCTTTTGCAAACATACTTGTTTGTAAAATATGTTTGTACTGAAATCAAGTTAAAATRTGTAGGCAAATATAATGCAAAATATGATGGTTGCCTCCTGTTGTAAAGATAGCATAAAAATCAAATTATAAAACTTGAATAAAGAAGAATCTGGTCTAATACATTAATACTCATGATTCCTAGCTGTTCTCTATTTGTTAGGGAAAAAYAGCAGGATTTGACATGTGACACAAATGTCAACCCCAGCATGGCACAATGCAGTCTGGCATTTGGGTTCCTACAAAGGAGTTGGATTTTTTCCTGTAAAGAGAAGACTGTATCTTCCTTCCCTCCCCCACATAAATGTGACCACTTTTACTAGTTTGAAGGATTAACTTCTCTTTCAGTGATCATCAGAGTAACTACCCTTCCCTATCCCCATCCCAATATGCAACAGTAATGCTATGAATGCATGAGGGTTTTTTCTCCAGTTAGTGGTTACAATTAAAATTGCCTGATTTTTTCAAAATTAAATTTCTACTGAGATCAAGTGATTGGTTGATCAAGATCAACCAATCTATCATTTCCTTTTCTTTAGAGACTTTTTTTTAAACTACAAGCCCTTTTAGGTAGAAAACTAGAACTCTTTATATAAATTATGCAGAGACATTTGTTAATAGTTGTACTACTAAAGCTACTATCATACTATACAGTGAAACYAATACTTATTCCTAGTAAAACATACTCTGGGCAGCTCTCTTTTGCTGTGGAAAGCATATTATTCAATAAGTACTGCCTCAGAACCATGAAATTTAAAAGAGCCTAAGTGTATGACTATTTTCAGGATGATTTCATTATATAACAGGATTAATATCAATAAGTTCTTCTTCTTAGATCTTACTATTTGTCAAGAAAATAAAAACCATAATAATCATGCCACCACAGCCAACAATTCAGAAGTGAATTGCCAAGTGTGGCTGTAAAACAACTGCAAATTCACTCCTAAGTAATCAGATCTCCCAACAACTTCTCCTCTAAGTATCAGAAAGAGTTTAGTAACAACAACTTACCTCAATTATTTGGTGCTTTCAAGAATTTTCTGTGACTCACTGCTTTCTGGACAAGAGCGGAGATAGATTATGAACCTTATCTGTATTACCAAAGCCATTTAAAACTCTCACTCAGACTTCAATGCAATGTCAGTCTAATTCTAATTTTAACCTATGCTGAGAATAGACGGCATCACATGAGGCACTTCTGCAAACCCCCTCAGCATTTACCACTGTTACAGTCTTCCCAGTTTGCTGAGTGTGACTGGGCTCCCCTAAACTCCTGGACTCCCATTAACAGAAGTTAAAAATTGAGAATGAGAAGAACAAAGGAGTACTTGTTATGCTATACAATTACCTTGTTTTGAATTTAAAAAGTCAATTAAAAATTAAAAAGGCTAGTTTTGAATTAAAAATTACTGTTTTCTTCAGTAATGTTTCTCTGCAAAGTAACCAAGCTTCAAAGTGGTATTAAACAGCAACATTGACTATATAGACTAAGTATTTTACTCATTACTTTTGCCCATGTTGAAGGAGTCTCTTGCTGAAGAATTTTAGTGCAAATTATCAAAGTCCAGGCAGAAAAGTAATCTTTACCAGGAGGTGCAGAGGGGTTATTACTCACCCCTAYTCATGCTTCCAATCATGAAATATTTTTAATATTCTATTTCTTCAAATAGCCCTTGGAGAAATAAAAGGAGAACAAGTCTGTCAGAATCATTTTCTCCAATCAAATGGAAAGAGAAAACAGGTCAGTATTTGAGGGAGAAGCCATAAAACTGCATAGTTCTAAGCAATTGCACTGGAGTATAAAATGTAAAGATGAAATTTTAAAAGTATTATTAATTTGGTTATAATCCTACCATGCAGAATTGTGTAACAAAAAAAAAAAAACAAACCCAGTCATCTCGTCTACAACYAGCTAAGTAAATGAACACCAATACCTACTTGAAAAGACACTAAGTACTTCAGCTTTCAATCCTTGCAATCTTCTATACATTAAAAAAAAATTATGCAAAAGCAAAAGATATCCAAAATATCCTGTTATAAGAATATCATTTAGTTTTGGTACAGAGTCCAAAACTCTATTCCTTGATCTAAACCAGTTGTAACTAAAATTCTCATTTTCTCCTCCTTAAAAGAAACAGATAATTTGAGCTAGGGAAAATCCCCCAAGACCCCTCATTTATTGGCGTTTTGAAAGACAAAGAAATTTCAGGCTCCTTGCTCAAGTAAAATTATTCTGTCTTAAATATTTCAAAGCAATTTTATTGATTTCCTTCATACAATTACATTTCCTCAACTTATTTTCTCAATGGTCATCAGATTAAAAAATATCCTATTTAGACTAAGCCCTTACCACAACAAAACACTTGTGTGGAAATAGACATTAGGCTGTGTTCTTTTGGCRGCCTTGAGTACAGTATGTTCTTTAAGGTAAGAAGAAATAGTTTGAGTCACCTGTACAGGATTGCCTGCATAAAATTCATAAATAAAAACAATATTACTACAACTCTTTGTGGCTTTATATTTTTTATTAGGAATAAATAAATCTGATAAAAATGAAATAGGTGATAAGCATGATATATTAGTCAAACTTTGCAAGAAATGACCTTTATATAAAAGACCCTTATACCACAATAGAAATATAAATAGCACCTTACATGGATGCTCCACGCTCCCCTGCCTACATTACCAGCTTTCCTTTTATTCAGTCTCAGCATCACAGATAGCAGGAATTCTACCTCTGGTAGCCTGTCTCACATCTTCACAGCTAAATGCAATAGACARCTTTGGTCTACAATTTTGGAGAATGCTCCTGTTTTTGATATATCTAAAAAAAAAAGGAGAAAACATCCATTTTGTGCGTCACAAATTCATTTTAAGGCCATGTAATGGTCTTTTCTTGTGTCTGTGTGCAACTTACGTTTCTAGAAAGTATTTATATCCAACAGTTTTCTTCATATCTCCCCTTACATCACCAGTGCAATCCTCATGATCTGTTTAGTTTACTTTAAAGCCACATAACTGGTTTCTGTTCTAAAGGCATTTGAAYTTATTCATTATGTGCCTCGTATCTGAGTTTAAGAAGTCCTTATCTCGCATAATTTTATAAGGTCCATTCTTTTTTGAATTTGATTAATCTGTCAGATTMTAATACCTGACTATCAATAACGCAATGCGAGCTTTTAGAATTTGTTTAGCCTACTGTCATGTTTAACAAAAGACAGAACATATTTTGTTTTCTCTTTCTTTCTGGATTAGTTTTAACAGGCAGATGCTTTCTATAAGAAACAAAAGTAACTGGAAAGCATTAGGAGCTGAAACTACTTTCAGCCTTTAAAAATACAGGATATTCTAGAGAGTATTAAGGCCTCGATAGTTATCAATAACTGTTGTCAGTAAGCATTAGARTAAGTATGGCCTCTTCATTTATAGTTTGATAAGGAGTACCTGTGCAAGTAATTGCCAGGAAAAAGTGGACTAAYAAAAGACTTAAGAGTTTTACTCAGTGAAACAACAAAAAGCTCTCTGGACATCTTACAGCAGAAGCATTAAAGGCATTTTATTTGTATATGATTTTTGCATAATCCCTTGTGGGAATTCAGATATTATTTGTTAAAATAAATTTATGTGTCCAAAATGGAAGAACTGTGAGTATTCCCCTTCAAAATTCCCCTTCAGATTATAAATACTGCACGTGTAGAGCAGTGGCACTCAGTTACACCAGCCTGACAATCATTCTTATTATAAAAGGCAAAATAAAGACATTCCACCACCAGATTCAGAAGCTGTGACCTATTCAGTTTGGCAGTGTGCTGTAGAAGAAATTACAGCAATACTAATTGAAAGAAGTAACAACTAATTGAGACTGATATCAGCTGTTGAGAACTTTCAACCACATAACATTATTACATAATGCACGTAGCAAAGGGCACATGTTAGCAGAGACAGCTTTTATAACTATTCAGTCTAATCCACAGAGTTTAAAGGCATATTCTAGCCATGATTTCCTTTATTTAAGGTCCAGCAGCATTGAAGCAGGGTTCTCCAAGTAAGATTTCCACAAGTTAGAAAACCGGGCCATTGTAGCTCCATCAATGATGCGATGATCAGCTGACCAACTCACATTCATTATTTGTGCTTTAAATACTTCACCTTTGCCATTAAACCGAGGAAGAACCTGAAAATCGGAGAAAGGACAAAACTAGAAATACTAAATACTTTCATTAGCAAATCTGTATTTTTTTTGYTCTTGTTTATTTGTTGATCTAAATTTAAACATTTCACTAAATTAGATAGTCAGCAGTAGCACCATGTAAAAAAACAAGACCTTTCCATTATTGTTTGTGCTGTGGATTAAAATATAGTGCAAGCCTGTATAATAAAGTCATATCCTGTTTCCACAATCATGGAAATGCTGAAGTGGTGTAAACCTTTCCTGACTCAAAAGTTTCTTCCTCAATACTTTATTGCACTGTTAATTTTTGGAGTGGCAGTTTCCTTAAAGCAGCTATAAAAAAACGCTCAGAGGAAGAACACAGAAAAAATAATTTCAGTTAATACTAATTTCATTTCCAGCACTGAGCTCAAATGTCTATACTAAAGAAATTCAGAAAATATAAAGCTTTCTTCCCATTCAAAATTCTGTATGGATTCAGCTATTTGGCTCATGAAATCAAACTTCATTGTCAGAATATGTCTCAAGTTTTCTCCTTGATGATAGTAAAATTGCTTTTGCCATGTTGCAAAACTTGCTAAATTGTATTTAYGTTGCTTCTTAGTAACAATAAGGCTAAACATAGATGTGAGTGAAATACAAAAGGATTCTAGAAACTAAGTATGAACCTTTGGTGTTAAAAGACCTCTAATTAAACATTTGATGTCTGCACAGTCATCTAAAACCAATCTTTTCAGTCGTGAGCTATGCGGTTTCTCTGCAATAAARGGAGATTCCATGTGTCATTTTCATTACAGATGACTTTAGCTAAACACTCATCGAKATAAAGTTAATATACCTGTATCTTTCCAAGAGCTCCAATAGCTACTTCAGGAGGTAGTATCACTGGTTTGGCGTAAGTGCCACCAATCTAGAAAAGAAAAAGCTGGCRATTTACTTAACATTTTTTTTAAAGCAGACTGCCTCTTGAATTAATTGCTATAGGTTTTGTTCTTTGCATATTAAACTTCAGTAAAGCTTGCATTTCAGAAGCAGATTTCAGATGTAGCTCTCGTTTTTCCTGTACTTACTGTGCCAATATTTGAAAGGGTGAATGTTCCCCCAGTGAGGTCACTTGTTCCCAGCTGCCCTGCAGAGCCCAAGGATTGCAGGCGATTTAATTCCACAGCAA